TCTTTTCTTCTTTTTTTATGCAGGCTTTAAGAAAGAATGCTACTGCACAGGAAAGATCTGATTTCCTGTTTGAAGCCAGCAGGATGTTGCAGTTCAAGCATGAGCACATTTTGAGACTGCTGGCTGTTTGTGTTGAAGGAGAACCCTGCTATTTGCTGCTGGAGTTGATGGATGGAGGAGACCTTCTGAGTCACTTGAGGAGTAACAGACCAACAACTGTGAGTGATACTTCATATACACTATACTGTACACTGTAAATATAAAATCTGCACATCAATATATTTATATAGATATACATAAATATATTCTGTTTGAATTTACTCAAGCACCAAATGTGCACATTTTTTTTATCAAATCAAACAAAGAGAAAAAGGGATGCACATGAAAAAGGGGTATAACTAAAAATTGGATACTTTGTTTTGCATTTCAGTGTGCCTTTTATTTGATTCTAATAGGAAATTTTGGAATAATCAATTATTTAAATGGGGATGATCAAAAATTGCTTCAATTCAGGTTCACTTCATGCCAAAATCCAATTTTGGCATTCTTACCTTAGAAATATTAAATTTTTAGAGTAAAAAAATGGGGCACATGTGTTTTATACTCAGGCATACAATTTAAAAAAAATATTTTTTGGCTGAAAAAATGCATCTGCCGTTATTCAGCGAGGAAATGCTGGGGAATTTCTTGGAAAAGGAGTGTATGCATATATTTTGCGTATATTCAAGCTGTTTCTGCTATTTGCCAAATTATTACCAATATCTTTGCAGTTCAATTATTTGCTTGCAGATATATACACAGAATAAGCTTAAAGTAAAGTACAGTGATATATAAAAGATCCCTCCATTGGATATTTTTCAGCTCAAAGTCCTCTTTTAAAGTAAGCAAAAAGTCCCATAATTTTAGATTTTTTCCCCAATGCAATATTTCTGATTTGATTTTTTTTTATTGCAGCATGCATGTTCGTTGGAAAGTGAGATACTGGAGTACAGGTACACACACCTGCACCGGTTCCCAACGTCCATGGATCTCCTCGAGGTAAAGCACGTGTCCCTAAACCGTCGATCTTTAACGGAACAGTCGTTTAGCAGAACCCCGCACTGTCGACTAGTATTAGACACTGTGGACACCACAAATCATGCCGAGTGCAGTTTGAATGATGATGAAGAGGATGACAGACACTGATGTCGCTGTAGATGCCGTGGGCGACGAGGCAGCAGATGCGAATTAATATACTATCTACAGCGGTCGTAGCCTCTGCTTCTTTTGCTGCTGCTTGTTGTGCTCTGTAACTTCCGCTTCAACATCGTCAAGATTGGGGACTTTGGATTGGCCAGGGATGTTTACAAAAATGATTACTACAGGAAGGAAGGAGAAGGTTTATTGCCCGTCAGGTAAAAAACATGATCCTGAGGCACTGTGTTCATTTTTGAAGCCAAAACCTGTTGAAAAGTGTACAATTCCATCAAATTATTTTGAAAAAAAAATCAAAACACTTCTCTGCAACTTTGATCATCTCATAAAGGGAGTAGAACAATAATTCAATATATTCCGAAAATCCACAGAAGCCTGAACTGCAAATTTCCCTTTTCATTGCACAAATGAATGTTTTTAAAAATAGAGTTATTTATAAAGCTTTCTGTATGGATTTCATAATTTTAAGTTAAAATGTTCTTCTCCTCAACCCCATATTTAAAGTGTCGTCCATAGATTTATAAAGAGTCGATATTTTAAATCTGTGGTTCTAAAGAACTCACCTTTAACTGAACCTCCAAACATGGTATATCTGAGTACCTCAATTTTATGTATGTATACGTACGTTCAGTTCAACCTATGAGAAAGTAATTACCTTACAAATAAACAAAAACAAAAGTTGTAAAGGTGGATGCCTCCAGAAAGTCTGGCTGATGGAGTTTTCACCACTCAAAGCGATGTTTGGTCCTTTGGAGTTCTCCTGTGGGAAATAATGACCATGGGACAACAGCCTTATCAGGCCAGAGGAAATATTGAGGTTTTCCATTTTGTCAGAGAAGGAGGACACTTGAACAAACCTGACATTTGTCCTGATGAACTGTGAGAAAGAAGAGAAAACTAAATTGTTATTCAGCGAAGCTAAATTAAAGTTTTTGAATGTTCTTGGTAGGTTTGATATGATGACCAAGTGTTGGAGCTACAGTCCGGAAAACCGCCCGAGTTTCAGGTACTGTCTGGAGTACTTGTCGGGACTGCGGAAGAAAATGAGGGGACTTTGGGACGAAGCCATTCAGCAGAGAAACAATGACACCCATGGCGACCTCACTTGGCACCAGGAACTCTGTGAAGCCGTTTTTGGCAGGATTCAGTATCACCCAATTTGCTCTCATCGCAATTGTGAGTCAAAACTAAATAAACAGGAAGCTTTTCAGCCAATCCCAAAAAAAAATGATACATGAACTCTTGAATGATTTAGATTTTAGAAGAAAAATACATTCTTCTCCAAAAGCATTCAGATGTTTTGTGGTGCACAAATTTTGAATCAAATCAATTTTTGGAAACAAATTCCTCAAATTTATTTGTTGTTGTTGTTGTAATGATGACTAACGATTTTTTTAAAATTCAGAGTTCAAAAAAACAATTATGCGCTAAAATTCCCCGAAATATAATTTTGCACTGCAAACTTCAGGAATGAGTTTCAGTGACCCTGGGCCAAAGTGAAATTTTTCAGCTTAAGAAAAATGCATTCAAGTTTTTGTTATTGTGAAACAAGCACCTGCAACTTGAGGTTCAAGAGGTAAATACTTGCTTTCCGACATTTCGGCCAGGTGTGACTCGCATTACTCATTAAAAAAATAACCAAAACTAACAAAACCTAAAACAGCCAACTGCACTTATGAGTTGACATAAACCACCCTAACATTCCCTAAAAAATAAAAGCAAAAAGCTTAAGAAAATATTGAAAACTTCCTTGGAATTCTCAAGAGAAAAAAAACTGACCTGGACATTTTATGCATGGATATACATCGAATGAGTCAAGAAAAAGCGTTTACCTGCATGCATGAATAATGTCTTGAATGTTGCTTATTTGGTTTGACATGTGCATGAACAAATGTTTGTTGTTGCGTTTTGCTAGTTGGGGCAGAAAATTACGGCTTTCAAATAACTGACGAAGTGGAGTCCAGGTATGCGGAATGTTGGCATGACTCTGACTCATCAGGTAATTAGTTGCCTTTGCTAACCCTGCTTCTCATAATCATCTCAACGCATTTATATTTGCTGGAATAATAAGAAGCTTTCTTTTAAAAAAAATTCTAATTATACACATTTTTGTGAGAATATTGAGAAGAATTTGTGTCAATCAAATAATTGTATTCTGATGAAGGCTCTTCGTGGAGATCGTCGACAAGTACGAGAGATGGTCAGCAATCCAGAAACGCCGTGACAACAAGTGTAGTTTCTTCGGGGAATCGGAGTTCAGATGTCGGGGGTTATGTTGTACCAGCGTCCAGGCAAGTCGTGCGGCTGTCGGCAGATGTCGCCAGCGACGTCACAGGAGTCACTAGTTTACCAAAGTATCTGGAGATTGTCAATGGTTCCACCAATGGTGGCTACGAGGTGCCATTTTGCGTGAGTTCATTATTCATTTAGAAAAACCGTCGCTTTACAAAAAATACCAGCTCTTTTTTATAAACGTGTTAAATTTATTTTTTGTCAAATTTCGCCAAGAAAGAAAAATGGCGTCGTTGCTTCCTCGCATTCTTAATCGGTAAAAATAATTTGTTCGTCAAATTTGAAGGAGTCCTGTTGTTTTTTGCAAAAAAAAAGAAGCTAGTTTTTTTTCAAGTTTCCTGAGATATTTAAGTTTTCGAAAAATATTATTTTGACTCATCGTTTTGTGCGTCTTTTTCACTGCAAGCAAAAAATTGTTGCGAATTTGAATTCCTCAATTTATGTATTTATTTTTTTAGTTTACGACATCGCCAGGGAATGGAGTAGTGATTGAAGCAGATTTGGCACGATTGTATGCCAATTCCAGTCGATGGGCGTCAGTTTTAGGCGGGGTTTGTCAGCCTCGTCATCAGGCCTCTACGTCGACGTCGACATCAGATGGGATGACGAGTGACACTGACGAGTCGCAGCAGTTCAACAGCATGACACCCTTGTATGCCAAACCGAAACCGCGTCGACACCATAAAATATGTCCCAATAAGTCAGAGTATGTCAATGTTCAGGCGCTACCTTTTGTTGGCAAAGAAACCGTTTGCTGAAATATGTAAGGCCGCGAAATGAATTTTATTCGGGAGTACTAACGGTTTGGACAGCCGAAATAAAAAGCGCTTTAATAGACTGACGTTAAACTTTTTTAGGTTGGAGGACTAGCCGAAATGACGATTTTAGTTTACGCACCAAGTTTTTTCCCCGTAAACTGGATTCCATTGAATTTTGTAATTTCTCCGATTTTTTTGCAAGGGCTTAATAATAAAATTTTTACTTCATTTGTGGATATATTTGACGCTCAAGAAAGTTTTTGAGCAATATTTGCTTTGTGCGACGTGTGAAGGCTATTTTATTATTCATAATATATGAAAACTCTGACCATGTTTTCCAAAAGTCGTACATTGTTTTTCCAAGAATCGCGGGTGATTTTTATGACATGAGATGCTTCCGTTTGTGTGTATATAGATTGAAATCAAGGATGAAATTGGACGAGTTTTGTTTTTCTTTGGCAAAAAAAATGCAACGACGCGTTTTTATTCGAAAAAAAAACGTTTGATTTTTTTTAGTGTGGAGTTTCACTGATTTTATTCTTCCACAGACGCCAAAAAATAATGATTCGCTGCGAACAACTCATTTGAGGAAAAACCAACTTCCTGTCCGTAATTTGCTTTAAATTTATAATACTGTATATTTACTAATGCATTGTGTCACGTGTGTTTTTTTTTTTGGGCCAATTTCTGACACGTTTGGAAAATTTCGTTTGCAGCTCATCTCGACGCTTCCGTTCGTATATGAACAGCATTGAAAATGTATTATTTTGATCAAAAATTGACAATTATTTTTGAACAATTGATTTTTGGATTTTATTTCGAGGAATGCCACCGATTTTCGTTGTCCACAGCCACATAAAAGAAATGAAAATATAGCCACAGTAAAATTCCGATAAATTTCGTTTTTCTGCGTCAGTTGCGGAAGGAGGAAGTCCGGAAGCTGGATTGGTAATCTTCCGGTTCCGTCGGAACTGGTTTCTTTCCTGCACAACAATTCCAGCAGCTCTTGGTGTTGTATCTGGAAAAGTCCGGCTTTTGGTCCCTGGCAAATGCCAAGAAAATCTGCTCCAAAGTCGTTTCTCCGACTGCGTAATCCTCAACGAATCTCGGCCAAGTGTCTTTTGCGGATTCCATCGTGGAAAAGATTAATTCCCACGTGGTGGCGGGGTTACTTATGTAGTACTGCAACAGTCCCTGTAAATAAAATAATAAATAAATAAAATTGAGAGCAGTCAAATTTCGTGATTCTTTCTTTCTTGGGTTGTTTCAATTCTTCCTTATTCGAATGGAAGCATGGAAATGATAAATGAAACAGTCCAATAATCGTAGATCTTTCAAAAATTCAAAATTTATTTTATTCAATTTTACTCATTATTTCCATTTTGGTCAAGACTTATCAAGAGTGAAAATTCTCAAAATCAATATGTTGAAATTATTTTTTTCTGAAGTTGCTTCAGTCCTTCGTCCTCATCCTTCGAATTTAAATGGAAACGAGAAATGAAACTACAAAAATAGAGAATTTCAAAGAATCTAAGGCCAATAATATAATATAAGGCCAATTTTTTGGCCTTATATGATTTCTCATCAAAGATTCTCTCTAAATTGTTCATTGAACTAAACCTCATACAGGAATCCGCAAATGCCCCTTTTTTGAACCACGCATTTGATTTTAGCAGTAAAGCCGATCAGGAGGTTGGATTTTTTCAAATTGCAGTCAGATAATTTCGCGAAAAATAAAGCCGACAGGTTTGGCAAAAGATGTCTAGTTGTATTTCATGGATTGTGTTCTCTTTTATTTTTGTCATTTGTTTGTGCTTTGTTTCATGCTTTGAAATGATTGAATGTATTTGGGGGAGTTGGGTTGGGTCGGGAGGGGGTTTGGATGGGGGAGTTCTGGTTATTCCTTGTGAACCCTGAAAAGCGGCAAATAAAGTTTTCTGTTCATTCATTCATTCAAGAATCCATTTCATTTCATTTTACAAGCAGTACTTTTTTCCAGTACTTTTTGTCAAAAGTGAAAATTCTCAATAAATGCTTTTTAATCCATCCCAAATATTCTTTAAAAAGAGTTCCGGCTTAACTGAAGAATTAATTATATCCGGGACCATTTCAAAGATTTTGGACATATCTTTATAGAGAAAAAGTATCAATTCAAACTACAAGAACTGCTATTTTTTTGTTCCTTTTTAATCTCGTGCCGAAACCTACTGAAAAATCTATAAATTTTGCATCGCTTAAAAATGCTTATAAAAATGCAGGAAATTTTTTGAATTGTCTGTTTTGAACTGTGGTCTTCAATAACTTTAAAAAATATAGAATCGCCAATTTTAAAAAGCGTCTTTGAGAATTATTCACCTCGTGCATGTCAGTAACTGTGCTGCTTTCTATGGTTCGCTCAATGTATTGACGCAGCTGTTGAAATTCTCCTTCCAGATGAAACTTGGGATTCAGCTTGATCTGAATGGAATACCCTTGGCAGAATTTCTGCTTCAAGTGCTGAACCGGGCCAATGCATCGGAATTTCCCATTCACCATAATCCCGAGTCGGTTGCAAAGCGCTTCACATTCTTCCATGCTAAAATGAAAAAAGCGCAAAAAAACATGTGTCAACGTATAACTGGAAAAGGAACGAAAAAAAAATGAATGAACCTGTGAGAAGTCAGCACGATGGATTGGCCTTTGTTGATGGCAGCTGTCAGAGCTTTCCAGATGCGTCTTCTGGAAACGGGATCCACTCCAGAAGTGGGTTCGTCGAGAAACAGGACGGCGGGTTCGGCAGCCATTGCCATTGCTGTGCTCAGCTTTCGTTTGTTTCCCCCGCTGTAATTCCCACATCGCTTCGACCAGTATTTTTGCAAACCTATCACGATTTAAATGCAATTCAAAATGTCTTTTATATTTCTCGAAATCTCGCGGCAACAATAATTCAGCGTATAAGAAAACTTGCCTATTTTCTGCGCAATATTTCATTCAAAACATTTATTTCCTTCCGCAAAAAAAAAACATCCACTGCTGCGGAGGACGTGACTTTTTTTGTGCCATTTTCCGCGGATGGATGAGTCAATGAATTAACGCCATTTTTAAAAATTAATTTCGAGATCATGTACCAATATTTTTTTAAATCGTGGATATCGTCAAATAGGAGAGATATTATTTCAAATCTAAACCCATCAGAAAAATACAGGTGGACACTCCAGCTCTCTAAAATGAAATTCAATCGTTGTAGAGAACCCTATAACGTGTTAAGAGAATTATTCTATGGGGCCTAAAATAAATTCTTTATACAGAGAATGTCGTTGTAGACAAGATCAATACGGAGAAAGTCCAATTTAAAACTCTGAGAACTGCCGACTTTTAAATTTTCAGTATTTCAATTGAAAACATTGGTCAATTTTCCCAGATTAATGGCATATTTAATAGCAATTGAATACCTTTTATCTTGGAAATATTTCCATTCGAGATAAATATTGTCTATTTCGATGTTATATAATTGATGAATAAAATAATTCAATTGACGACGGAAAGTCTGGTTGATATTAGATTGAATTTGGAAGCAGTAAAAAACCTTTTTTCAAGGTTCGCTTACGCTGACCTAAGTTTTGAATCGATTCTCGCGTTTATTTTCTTTTCTTTTTTGCATTCTTGAAATTTTAAATTGGAATGTTTCAAGTGAGGATTATTCGAAGCTCACCCAACACGGAAATCAATTCATCCACGTGATCAGGAATGGCATTTTCGGGGAAACCTCGAAGTCTCGCATACATAAACAGCATCTCTTGACCTGTCATGACATCAACCAGGCCGTCGAATTGCGGGCAGTAGCCAGTCATTTTCAAAAACTATCAAGATAAAAGTTCGGGAAAAAAATGAACGGTGTTATTGATTGATGGACAGAGTTGTGTTGCATACGAGATATTTTTCGTTGTCGAGATCCCGACCCATGAGTTTAGCTACTCCTTCAGTTTTGACCTCGTCTCCGGTCAACATGCGGAAAGTCGTTGTTTTTCCGGCCCCGTTCACTCCGAGAAGACCGAAACATTCGCCAATTTGCACACCCAGGGAAAGACCGTCAACCGCCACTAATTCCTTGAAAACTTTCCGAAGTCCACTGACCAACAAAGCTTCTTGTTGCCAAGCACCTGTAAAATTAAACATACCACATAAATCGTGGAATATTCGCTTTTTGGTAAAACAAATATAGCACTTTAATTTTAAAATTTGAAGAAAAAAATTTTCAGTCAACACACGAACCGCAAAAACGTCGTTTTTCCGGCAAAAAGACATACATATTATTGTCAAAAATTTTGCCTTGGGTCTCAGCAAAAAACCTGGGCATCAAAATCGTTCGAATAATATTTTCTCAAGGCACGGATATTTTGGAATTTGGGATGACGGAGTTTTAAAATTGGAAAAGCTTCGTTGCCCTAAATTTTGTGAACCAGAAAAAATATTCTCTCTATAAATTAAAATTTTTTTTGGGGAGATCTTTGAATTATGATTGGAAATTTAATGATTATAATCAAGCATGTGAAAACGTTTTTGGGGGACAAAAATTGAAAGTTGAAAATTGAAAGATTTTCATGAGCTAGTAAATAATTTTCTGCGTCATAAAATTGTTTGTCGGAATCCCATTTATCGGCAGATTTACCAAAAGATAAAGGTAGGCAAAAATTAAGAATGAGCCAAAATTATTCTTCAATATTCCCTTTTCGTTCTAAACTCACCGGATTGCAGAAGCTGAGACACGCGCTGATTTTCATTCTGCACATCAACGTCGAGTTGACGTTGATTGGCATGATTTGATGCGTCTCCGGATTTGTAGAAAGAAGCGGCAATTTTCTTGTGGATCCCAGTTTCGAGCAAGAAAACAATTACGTAGAACAAGACACAAGACACGACCAACATGAGTAAATCTATTCCGATTCCTGGTTCTTCCAATGTGAAAAAGCTCTTTGGTTCGAAGCAAGGCGCCATATTTCCCACACCACAAGATGCTGCAACAACAAAAACATCAAAAAAGTGTTCAATAATTGAATATAAATGCTTTACTTTTGGTTTGACTGAAATATAACAGAGTCATAATAAAAGTCTCTTTTCCTCTCATGGAATTTCCCCCAAAAATATTAAGAACCATACATGAGTATTTTTTCCCATAATTTATTGACCGAAGGAGTCTGTCACTGTATTTTTATATTTCTGTGCATTTATTTTGACAGTCAATTGGAAGCACAGTAAATGACTTCACAACTATGAAGAGACAATTTTAGCGAAGAGGTATTTATTTTGGTACACAATTAGAAAAATTTAAAGACAAGATGGCATCACTTAATTTTTTCCTGGAATATAGAAATTGTTTTCTTATTTTGATATTAAAATATTTTGTGATGAGAAGTATGTGTTTTTTTAAAAAGTAAATGTGAAATTTTAGTGGGCATTAAATTTATTAGTGTACATTGTGCACAGAAGAAGAAGAAAAAAAACTCACAGCAACAAGCTTGAACAGATTTCGGAAGCTGGTCGAGGCCCAGCATGCAAACAGTGTTTTTCAGGTCGTCAGACAAGAAACTGCAACGATTGTTTTGATACGCTCTTTCAATCACAGAGAAAACGCCGTGACTGAACGGAAATGGCGGCAGGAATCGGCAAATCCACTTCATGATTTTGGCAGCGAGGACCAAGTCGTCGGTTGCTGCTGTTTCCAGCAGAGCCACAACCACAGTCGAGATCGAACCTGTTTTTTTTTTTTTTTTTTCATCGAGGAAAAATTGGAAGACATATTTTTCAGCTCTGTCAAGATCATTCAAAAAGCCGACAGAATTGTGGAAGGACTTTTCTCAAGATATTCTGAGTCAGTCTCAATGCAAAAAAAAATCCAGAGAAAGTTTGTTATTTTTGACTTCTTACAAAAGTCTTTTTCTTATCTTGGATTTAATCATAATATTTTAGCCGTTTTTTTAAGAAAGACGAGGACTTATAACTTCGGGTTTAATCTTTACTAAATCAAGAAGACAGGAATTTAGAATTTTTCTTGCTTAGAGAAAATATCCATGAACCGAATTTTGAGCCTGGGTTTTTTTTTGACGAGACACGAGGTCAAATTTTTTTTTTACAATAATATGTCTTATTGCCGGAGTGAAGACTTTTTTAGCGGTTTACGTCTTGCCAGTAAATTTTTCTCAAAACTTTTTCGTGGATTGACGTGCAAAAAAATGCTCTTACCAAAGAGCAGATTGTCCATGATGTGGATTGCAAATCCGGTTCCGGGTGAGTCGAACCAGAATGAATGAAAATATGCGAAAGGCATCGCAGCCAAACCGTACAAGACGATTAGAATCGCCAAAGCAACTATAAATAAATAAATAAATAAATCAACATGCGTATACACATTATTCGTGAAATAATCTCAATCCTAACTATATTTTTTTCTGATTTTGTTAATGGCTTTTGTAGGACACAGTAGAATTAATTAACGAAAGAATGTAGTCTAAGACGGGGAACAAGAAATCAGGAATCTAAGGAATGTTGCGCAGTGGGAAATCCACGGTATTTCACATTGCGCAATCTTTTAAAATAATACGAATAATTATTTCTGCTCGCACACTGTTCATCGAGTCTCCGAAGCCTTCGGTTGTATTTATTGAGAATTGCATTCTGAGTGTGAAATTTCCAAGTTTACCTTTTGTTTGATTCATCTCTTTTTATCGTTGTTGAAATTGAAATATATTTATTAAACTACTTGATCTTTGGAGATTCTACCGAGAATCTCCCTGCCGAATTCCCAGACGGCGTAATGAGATTTATTATACATTTTGTTCCATCATCAGTTTGAGTCTTCTTAAATTATTATAAATTTCGTCTTTGTATCGTTTACAGCTCTCACCAGTCGCTGATCCACCGTGTGCGAGAAAAACGCCACTGGCGTTAATGCTGGCAAAAAGAATCACTGCAATCAACATTGCCGAAATTGTAATTGCCGTGTCTCCGACTGCGTGACCGAGCCAATAAGTGGCAGGTTTCATCTGCAAAAAATAAAAATGGCATTTAAAGCAGAGAAACTCATCCTTCCAATTATTGACTCATTCTTTTTTTTCCGCTAATCCGACGCGAAGTAGCAAGTCACAGAAATAAGTTCTATCTCAAAATAGCTCACCTAAAAAAAAAGTATTTGCTCTACGATAAGGAAATTTTACTCGTTAATCAACAGCTGTCAGGATTATGAAGGTATTTTCTTCCTCATCTGCATGAAGCTCAACTGCTGACTTCTTTCTTTTCATTTTCAAAACATAAGTAGGCTATAATAAGATAAAATGAATCTCACTTACCCCGGTCATGAGTTGCAGTTGCTTGGACCCACAACTCCGCTCCTCAATGGGAAACACCACAAAGGAACAGGCAACAAGAAACATGCCTAAACACCAGGTAAGTGCGTAAGTCATGTCAGAGTCGATGTTGGGGAACAAAGTGGGATTCGTGCTGTTGTCCGAAGGGAAATTCTCAATCACTTGTTCCTGGAAAAGGATAAAAATAAAAAATTAACAATACAGTAATGAAAATAATCATTTAAAACTAATTAATGCAAAGACTTTAACGATTTTTATTTTGCTCATGCATTAAACATAAATACATAGACTAATATAGAGTGTCCCCAGCACAAAACGAAACTAAGCTCTTCTTGGGTGCATTTCTTTGTGTGGAAATTTTCGGAATGCGAAACGAGAATTTGCTTGAGGGTCATTATCAAAATACAGCCAAACCTACTCAAGTAAAAATTCCAATGGCCTAGCAAAAAGAATTCCAGTTAGGGAAAAAAGCATTCTTGTGCTGTGAGGAAAATAAAGAATAATTACAGGAAATTGTAATTGGTGGTATTCGGGATCTCAAATTTCTTTTTAATTAGTCAACAGAATCCTAAAATTGTAGGCAAGAGTTCATTTGCCCAATTAGTCTTTCACTTCCTTTCAAGATACATGAGTTTACATTATTATTGCTTTACTCTTCCCTATGTCAATAAAATAATAGCCAGCCCACCTGTGATGAAATTTGAGTTATGGAGGCTTCGAAGATAAAGCCAATTTAAATTAGGAAGGTTTTTATACAGTACTCTACATTCTTTTGTAGGGCATTCAGACAGGGACTTTTTTTAATTGAAATATGGAGGTTATTTGGCTTGAAAAGGCTCGAGTTATTCAAGTTCTAGTATAATTTAATTCGATGACCCATGTAGACATTCGCCAAAAAAACATGAAAACCTTCAAATACTTCTTTCCAGTTTTTTTTTGTGGCATCAATTCGGGAATTTACAAATTGATTAGTGCTGCATTTATAGGTAATGCAGAAAAACGCGTGCCCTTTTTTTTAAAATTTTTCCCTCCATTTCTTTCAAAGTTCCAAATTTCGTAATTCAACTCGCCAAAATGCGAGCGTTTTTCAGCCAGCAGCCAAAAAATTTTGGTTTTCCTTCTTACGAACTTTCGTTTTAATTGCAGAATTTATGCATACTGTGTACATATATGCACTCACCAACGAGCTTTTTGGCAACGGATGATTAGTGACATCAATGACCAGATCCCGGTTCTCCAAAATAGTCCTGGCCAACACATTGTTCATCACGTTCAGTGTCACCCCGTAGGAATGCAAGGGCACAGTTTGAAACATGGCTTGTGCCACGCAAACATCTTTCCAAGTGTAGTTGCTCTTGAGGAAATCAGCAGCCATCACGTCTTCAGTCCGGTACCGAGTCAAGTCTTCCACGCCTCTTTCCAGCAAAAAGTCCTGCATCAACGCGGCATTTGGCACTTGGGTCAAGGACGGCTTGGATTGTGCAGAACCGACGAATTGCTCGTATTCCAGGGCAGCTAAATCGCAGTATGAGTCGGTTTCGTGTCGCATAAACACGTTGGTTGGTTCGTAGGTGCCGAGGTTCAAGGGCAGAGGACGAGGTGACGAGGCGTTGTTGTTTGTGGAGTCGTCGATGAGCAGGGCTGTCAAACAGCAAACAGCTGGCAACAGGACCTATGAAAATTGTGTATGTATAGGAGTTTATAAAATGTTTTCAGCACATAACGTGAGATTGAATGAAACTGTGGCACCCTGCAACTTGGCCCATAATCCAGCATTTGTTGAGGAATAACTTATTACCTCAACACAAATGTGAAGGAAATTGCTAGTGGATCAAATGTAGGATACAGTAAAGTTCAAAAATTTGGAAATAAAAAGCAAAATCAGCCTGGGACAAGGCCGGAAATCCCTTTACGATTTCCTATTTAAAACTATTGGAATTGTATTTCAATTTTTGTCCCAACACACAAATTCTGAGTAGATAACTTCAGCAACACTTTCAACAACTCAGCAGAACTCTTCAAAATTCAAACTTTTTGTAGACTGCACACAGCAAAAGTTTGATTGCAAATGTGGTTTTGTTCTTCCGTGAACGACAATGCGTGGAAATTGGTTCCTGTTTTCATTGTTCTTGAGTAGTGTAGTTTTCCTTGAAGAGTTCCTTCCCTTTGAGGGTTGGTTCTCTTATCTGATGCTAGGTTATTGCAGTTTTTTATAATTTAATTTCAACATTATTTGGCGCATATGTGTGGTTTCCCAACAGCATTGCTGGGCTAGAGTCAAATTGCAAAGTGATCAAATGGGCTAGACTTTGGCTACTCAGCCAAATCTCTGTCTTGGTGACTATTGGTCAAACCAAAATGCACAAGCATGCAAAAATTTCCCGGCACTACCACGGGATGGAATTTAAGTTATTTAACCCACTGCCATCCAAGGGTTAAACCAAGGTACACTATTGTATACCAAAGGGATCCTGGAGGATATGAACATTATTGGCTTAATCATCATCAAACCATACTTGTAGAGATTTTTTTCTCTCAACCTGTTCTTACTTGAGAAAATAACAGGCTCCATTTCCGGCTGAGGTAGATGAATTTCTTGGTGACAACTGCTCGCAGTCTCTGGACAAACAACTTGACACCTTCATTTCTGAACACTGATCTGGATGAATTCAGACCTAAAGTGGAGAAACATAATGATTGCTTTCAAAGTCAGAAAGATTTGAGAGAATAATTTATACCGTACTTTCGACACTATCTGTAGATTTCGGTTTTGCTTGCATGGTTCCATAAGTTTTACCCATGGTTTCCTGATTTGGCTCTTCTTTGTCTTCCAAGTTGTGTGCACCTTCTCCAACCCTGAAAAAATATTGATTGCAAAAAAATTAGCCATGTTTCCTTCAGTCATCTTTACTTGAACGTCCTGCGTCTTAAATATTGCGATTTTATTTGGAAAAATTCACCTATTGCTTGTATTTTTAATTTATTTTTCAAACTCAAGGTTAGATTTTGATTTTTAATTTTTCGGGGTCAGTATCTTCTAGCTGGATTGATGTTAATTACAGGTGTCACAAATACTGTACAAACACAATTTTTGTCATCTGAAATTTTTTCCAGCAAGGCAGTTCTTTTTTTAAAACATGATGCAACTTTAATTGGTTCTCAAGGAATGTCAGGAAAAGTTTTGCTTGTGAATTGTACTTTGAAACATTTCATTGAAGTTGTATCAAAAATCTTTGAAAAATTCTAAAGTAAAGCAGAGTTTTGTTCATTTCAAAGGGGTTTGAAACTTGAATTGCCTGAATGCTGCGGATCCACTGCATTTTTTTTTCAAATTTTACTGCATGCAGGGTGTAAGTATATTTTTAATGTTTTTTGTGAGTGCCTTGTATGACAGTACTGTATTATTTACTTCAAGAAAACTTCTTCCATGGTTGTGGAAGTTATGGAGAAGTTGAGAATGCCAAGATCATGTCGGTTGGTTTCCAGAGCATTCAACAAAGCAGGATAGTTTCGACGTTGTTCTTGAGGAAGACAAACTGCCAATTCATTTCCTGACTCAGATTTCAAAATGGCTGAAGGCATGCGTTGATTGATTATGGATTTCACCAGGTTCCAAGACTGGTTCTGTTGCTTCAACATGCTCAGAGTGACTCCAGTTCCTATTTGTGCACAGGCAAAACACAAATTAGTCAATTTTTTTCAAAGTATACAGTGTATTTACGTAGCAGTATTTCTTTTGTGCCATTTTATGCCCAGAATATCAACAATTATGATTTGCTGTAAATCTTTTTTTCCACAATAATTTATTTTAACCTGAAAGGTCAGGTTTTTAACCTGTTTTTAAACCTGACCTTTCAAGAGCTGAGCTTCACTCAGAAGTGTTAGAACCCAATATAATCTTTTTTTGTTCCCCTTTTGTGTTAGCAGCAGATTAAATTTGGAAAGACCTAGTAAATAAATTGTAATGTGATTATCACGACTGCCAGTGACATCTACCCGCGTCAAAACAATGTGTACCTTTAATGGACTGGCATCAATGGTTCATTCAGTTGATGACAAATTTATCGCTTTAAAGTACATGTTGATAACATCTTTCATATGTAGGAATGTTTTTTCTTCTTCAAAGGATGGAATAAAGTGTATAATTACCATATTGTTTCTTGAGGTACATTGGAGAGCCGCAACATTGCAATTTTCCATCTGCCATAATTGCGATTCTGTCGCCCAAAACATCGGCTTCTTCCATGAAATGCGTCGTTAGTAAAATCGTCCTCTTTCCCTTTTGCTCCTGCAAGTTTTCATTTCGTGAGAAAATGTGACAGAAACTTACAAATAAAAATTGTATAACGGAAATATACCTGCAAGTAATCCCACATGTTTCGTCTGGCTTCCGGGTCCATTCCACTGGTCGGTTCATCGAGAATCACCGTCTGGCAAATTCACGAGATAATTTTTTTGGAAACTGTTTTTTGATGTTAATCAATTCATCAAATCAATCGGTATACCTCACTGCCACCGATCAATGCGATTGCAAGAGACAATTTTCGCTTTTGTCCGCCAGATAAGGCAGCTGACATGGAGTCCTTTTTTTCTGACAAGTTGAGGCGATTCATCAGGTCCTTTCCTTCAGCTGCAGCTTCACTTTTAGTGATCCCTTTCAGCTGCGGAAATTTTGAATTTGAGAAAAAAACAAAGGATTTTCGGCACTTTCCTGTTATCTCTGTACCTTCCCTCTGACCAATTTAGCCTGACCTAACCTAACTTCACCTAGCTACCTCCCAAAATCAGTTTCTGTTTTCTTATTTGGGTTTCCGCTGAAACTGATTTTGGGAGGCAGCAGTTTCAGCAGAAACCCAAATAAGAAAACAGAAACTGATTTTGGGAGGCAGTTAATTAACATAACCTGACCTAACCTAACTTTATCTAACTTTAGGTCAGGTTATGTTAGTTACAAAT